GTTAATTTTACGTGACTCTTATTAGGCAATATGTCACCTGCCCCTCCTAAAAACTAAATAGTTTAACACAGAAAATATTATAGGATATAAATTACAGACAATATAAAAATGACATTGTGCTGCTATGGAGAAAATTTATAGCACCCCGTCACAAGGCCATTAGCAGAGAGAAAGGGAAATTGAACCACAGGGCAGCGAAGACGAAGATGGGCTCCGAGATCAGACCCTACAAGACGGACAGTCAGGGGAGTGTGGAGAAATGCAGGAAGGCAGAACAATTACTCTTGAGGCCATAACATGGATTAAACGCACTAAAAAAATGTCAGCTATAGAACATTCTGGGAACGTATCAGTGCGTGCAGCAGTCACGCCGAGTTAAGCCAACAGAGCCAGTCCCATCTCTGCATTTTGCAGATAGCGAACGGCTGAAAATGGTGGAAGCTTAAACCCCCACCTCCCCCACATCCCAACGTGTTCAGTAGATGTGGTTTTCACTGAGTCCTAGTCACCAGGCCACACCTCAGCTTTGCTTCTCTTACCCATTTCATCTACAGATGATCTGCCTACAGCCCCTTCTTTTTAAAGGGATCTACTGTTTTGTCTTTTCTCCCCCTAATTTAATAGAAAACCTCTTATTTATATCCCCCGAAAGTAGAAATAAAACCATAAAGTCTTGAGCTTTACTGCCAGGAACTAAGCCTCCAAAAAGGGCCATCATTTTATGTCATGTTTTAAAAAAAAAGAAAGACCATTTTCAAATGGACTTTAAAATCTGCTATAGCTTGAACACAACATTGCCCAGCAAGGCCAGAGAGACCCCATTGGCCAGCTGCTCAGAAGCCTCTGAAGAAGTCACTTGCCTTGGTGAATTCCCCATGGCTCACTTCTGGCCCCTGCCTTTGAGATCTCAGAATCTGGAGTTTGTCAACGCTGCAAGAGTGGAGCCAGTGATCTGGGGTGCACTCACGTTAATCCCAGCTAAGTAGAGGCTGACGTAAAACCAGAAGGCCAAGTAATTTGTTAATATGATGAGGCACAGAAATGCCATGCCAGCCAGAGCCCTCAAACAGATGTGCCTAAAACCTTCTCTGTAGATAAATCCACATGAGGAAAGACTGAGGAACAATTCTCTGTGCTACACGCAGGAAAATAAACAACCAAGCATGCTTACATTTCATGGCCACGGTCCCCCCAGTGAGAAAGGCTTCAGCACAACAGCAACCCAAGATGGGTTCAGCCACCCAACCCCCTCCCCCAGTGCTGGCACGGCAGGTAGCAGAAAATGGGAAAGTGTAGATTCTGGCTTTCTTGGCATCCCGCAGGCTAACCCCACCAGCTAGGGTTCATCAGACACAATGCTTTGACTGGACCAAGCCTCTACTGAAGTATCAGTCCCATCTCAATCAAGCAAAACAACTCCTTTTAGGGATATTTGGGAGCAGGGGGATGATCTTATGCTGCCCCTTGGGGATGAGGATGCAAGCTGAGCCTGGGGCAGCCAAGGAAGCCAATCACATTTACATATATAAATACTCCAAAGTGATATTATTACTTCACACTTCAAATTCTTCTCGCTAGGGCTCATTTCAAGCTGTCAACCTGCCCTTAGCAATTATTGAATCTTATTAAAAGGAACACTCTCTTGTAATCAATTAGACGCATTACCTTGAATATTCAATTTCTGCCAAGCCACAGCTGAAATAATCACTTCAGAGAACGTGTTTGTGGACCTCAGACCTGCAGTCATTCCTGAGTGCGCTCTGGGCTCATCTGCTCCCTCCCACTCACGTATTTCCCCCACCAACGTGGAACAATACAATGATTAGGTTTCCACTTAATGACTTAGCATTGCATGCCGATCTTGTCTCTCTGAGGATAAACTCAGATGATCTTACGAAAAGTTTTGTGCTTCCTCAAAGTCTGCAGTGCTAGAGTTAAAGGTAGAATCTTAGTTTAATCTTACAGCTGGTCATCAAAGCCACAGTGTGTGTGGGTTTCACCTGTTAAACCCTCAGAGGCCAATCTCGTTTCTCCGGGAGCTCCACTGGGTCTCCCTGCTAACCGCATGTCATGGTAATAATATTGACACCCTTGGGAAGTCTTGTTCCGTTTTCCAACTATTGTCTCCCAGCTTCAAATCCACCATTTTATACTCTGTTCCGGTGCTGGGTCAGGGACTCTGCGAAACACGTTTGTCCTTGGTTACTGGGTTTCCGGTTGTGTGTTACCAAGATGGGGCTCTGAGGAGAGATCAGAAGTTAGGAGAGAAGGAGCAGATCCCTGACCCTTCCTATTCACCTGCAGATCCTGCCCTTTCACCAGAAAAGAAAACCACTTTTCAGGGGCATGTAACTTGGTAACTTAAGGGCAGAAGTGTTCCATTATTTTTTCCAGTTACCCTACGTTTTCTAATTATTGCAGAAAGCAACCAAGTGTGGGAAGCCTGGCAGGCCCAGAGCCAGGGTTTTATGAGGTCTAGGGCAGAGGTTGGCAAACTACAGTCTGAGAGCCAAATCTAGCCTGTCACCCGATTCTGTAAATAAAGTTTTATTGGAACACAGTCATGTTCATTCATTTCTATATTGTCAATGGCTATGTTCACAACTACAGCAGAGTTGATTAGTTGCAACAGGGGCCATACGGCTCACAAAGCCTAAAATATTTACTATTTAGCCCTTTGTCAGAAAAAGAGTTAAACATCCTGTGATGTAGAGAATCATAAAGCCTCACTGTACCTGTCCAGTCCTATGGGTCCCATTTCCATCCACTCCAGCTCTCACAGAAGACCTGTAGTTACACGCAAATGAGACCCCAAGACTGAGCGGAGAGCCACGCAATCTGGATGGGGATGAGGTAAAAAGAAAGTCAACTTGGGTCATTAACAGCAATAATGATTGCAGGAAAGGAGAAAAAGTGACTCCGAACTTTCAAAGGCCATTGCCCTCTCAGCCAGTGAAGAATTTCACAGCCAAGTACAAGCACTTTCATCCATTTCCCAAGTGCACGTGCACAATGTGACTTTAAAGCACTGGTGGCTTTTAATCTTGCAGGTCTCTTAAAGGGGTGGATAGAAAGCAGAAACCCTCCCTGCTAATGCTCTCCCATTTCCCAGAGGCAGATAAAAACCCATTTATTTTCAAGTTTTTTAAAAAAAATCTGACTGTACATTCAATTTTGGGCTGGGGAATGAGTAGAGAAGGACTCAGAGAAAGTAGAATATATGGTATCCAGCTGGAGGAGCCTGACATCCATGTAGCAAAATGAGATTTATACACTTCAAAAAGGGGGACTTGCAGTGCATGAAAGTAGAGTTCATGCATTCATTCATTCAGCAAGTACCCATTTGTTTTAAGGAGAAAAGATGAAGTATGTGTACATTTCACAGTACGGACATCCTCTGTCCTCCAAGGAGTTACTAATCTAGTATGGAGATGATAAATCATTAAACCAAATCATTATATTATCATTTGATGAGTGCTATAAAAAGCACATTCATTTTTGGACACATGGGAGTAAACAACTATCCTGGAAGGATTGGGAAGGATTTGTAGAAAATATATTGAAACTGTCTTAAAGATGTCTGGGAGGTAGCTGGAGGAAGCATAGTCTAGGCAGAGAGAAAATAACCACTAAGGTCAGGGTGCTCCCTCACTCACCCCGGTGACCACGGCCTGCCCAGGGAACCCAGACAATAAAAAGAAGGATCAAGAGTTGTGTGGCTCACTGACATTTAGGGACATTTACTGGCCTCATGATTTCCACTGGCATAAGAACGGTAAAAGGGACCCCCAGAGTTAGGGTCTAAGTAGTCCATTTTGACGAAAGTGTCACTGGTCATACCCTTATCTACACTGACAAAGTGACAAATCCTTTTCTGGAGATGCCTCGGCACCAACCTCCCTTTTGTCTGTGACAATCCACATTCCACCACAAGCAATTAATTGTTAAAATTTTAATTTTAAAAATTAGGCAGACAGCCTGAAAAATGCCAAGGGAGCCCAGTTTGTCCCCAAGAGGTACTATTTTCACAGAGTTCACCTCGCATCCTCTGTTCACGACACGCACTGCTGAAGCTGTGGTTTTTCAATGTGCAGCACCGGCACTGCCTGGGAACTTGTTAGAAGTGCAAATCCTCAGGCCACCCTCCAGACTGCCTGAATCAGAAACTTGGGAGGTGGAGGCCAACGATCTGTGTGATACCAAACGCTCCGGGGGATTCCAGTGCACACTGAAGTTTGAGAACCACTGGGCCAAATCATCCTAGATGCTAGCGAATATTGCTTAAAATCCCAAATGGCCTGCTTCATTAAAAATGAGAAGAAAGAAAAAAATTCTAGCTCTAGCATTACTACAAAGACAAAAGGGAGCATAGGCATCACTGTATGGTCTCATCTATAGATTAGAAGACTGGAAGAGTAGAAAGTAAGACATAGAAGTAATTGCATATCGCAGCCCAGGCAACTAGATGAAAACAACCTGTCCATATTTTCAGGCAAGTGTACCCCCTTCTTAAGCTGACTCCAGTGGAGACCATCGCAAAGACCCAGAACTTTTGTGGGGTACAGTTCTACAGTGAAAGTGAGGAAAGACAGATAAACAGGCCAGAAGTGTAGACTGGAACAGGATCCTGAAAGACCGAGTCCTTCTTATAAACTGGGCTTTCATCCCAGAGGTAACAGGAACCCACGAATGCTGTTTTTGTTGTTTGGGCAGTGTAATGATGTAAGGGGCCCTGGATCTGAAAATATTATCCTAGTGGGAAGCTTGGGGTAGAGAAGGCAGCATTGGAGAGAAAGGTGAAGACTTGTTACTTAGGAAGGTACTTTTCTAGGTGTTGAGAACCAAAACCAAGGACCCCACTGAGGGGATGGGAAAGAAGAGTCAAATCACAGAGAACTTCCAGGAAGAACTGTCCGGACATGGAGCCAGACTGGATGTGAAAGTACAGAGAAGGGCAGTGAAGATGACCTTGACTTCTAGTTTGAGTGTGGGAATAGGTAATGGTGCCCCTCATCAAGGTAGGTGACACAGAGGAACAGGGTTTAGAAGAGAAAAATGAGTTTTGTTTTGAATAGATCATATTTGTGGAGTCTGTGTGAACTTCACACAGAAGTATCTAATGTCACTTAATTTCTTTACCCATTAAGCAGAACGTATGCAGCAAACTCACACTGTGGTATCATCTTCACTCCTCACATCAGGGCCCATGTGCTACGCAGGCGTCTACGAATCTGCACTATGAAACAGCAGTGTAATGATCAGGAGAGCTGCTATTTCAGTCCTGGTTTCTACATGCAATTCAGGTTTGCAATAGGACTTAAAATTGAGCTATACTGGAAAACAGTTTACATTTTGTAAGTCTTATTTGGGGTATTATTTTCTAAGTGATATTCCTAATCAATTTCCAGATAACAGCTGACTTGGGCTGGAAATTAAGCCAATTCAGAACAAATCCATCATGTTCTCTGGCATCTCGGGGTTTTAAAGGATAAGAATGAGAAGACATAGACAGTTGTCTGGTAGTATGTGATGTGAATGTCATACAAATCAGCCAAGAGCCCCTTTGCCAAGTTTTAATCAATAGTGTTGAATTGAAAAGAAGGTACCAGACATGAAAATAATGCTGTATTATCAGTCTTTCCATATATGAAATTATTTCCTCAAACTACTTAAAAAAAACAACACCTAGTCCCTGGCATCCTTAATTCCTTCCCTCTATTTACAGTGTAAAGAGGCTGAAGAAAATGTGTCCAGTGGAATAACTCAATTTTGAGAAATGGGCCGGAGCCCAATCCAGATGGGTGTAGCTGTGGGGGGTTGGGAGAGTCACCTCCTGCCCCCAGGTTACTCCTTTGTTGAACCTATAATTGTGTCAGTAAGAAAGGAGACGTATGTCGTCTGTGGACCGTTCAAGGCAGGCAATAGCACTATTTCATGTTTGCATCTGACTTGGTTAGAAAGAGTATCTTCAAAAAGCATCCTGGGCACTCTGGGGATAATATCTGGAGTGAAATGTTTGAGGAGTAATTAGGAAGGGGAAGGTAAGCACGAGAGCAAGAGCAAGAGTGATACCATTTGCAGAGAAGTCATTTATATTGAAACAGCCTCAGAGCCACTGACCTTAATAGGACCAGATCAAAGTCTATCCATGTTAACCTCTTAACGAACCAAAAGCGGCTGAGGGAGGAAGAAAAAAAAAACATAGCCTGTTCCATTGGGGGGAGACAAATTATATAAATACGTACTACTCCCTGACTATTTGAATGGCCCAGATAAAGATGCAACTGCCTGCAGAGATAATTACTTGGGCAAGAGTGTTAGAGCAAAAAAAATGGCATCAGATCTTTAATAAGATAACCAGATACCTCGAAGCATTGCATTAGAGCAGCGGCAGGATTATTTTTTTCATGCCATTAGAGGAAAATGGAAAGAACTCATTGTTCTGAGCTGTAGCATCCTGGAGATCAGGGAGAGAAGGGCTCGGGAGCTGCTGCCCTCGGAGCCCAGTCTTTTATGTTTGAATTCTTTCCCGGGACCAAAGGTCGAGGTTGGGGAGGACAAGAGTAAGGCAAGTGTGTGTGTGTGTGTGTGTGTGTGTGTGTGCGCGTGCGCACACGCTTGCGCAAAACTGACAGAACATCTGCTTTCCCACGGGTTTGGGTAAAGCAAGAGATGAACATTTGACCCCGGCGAAAACATATTTTACCTTAATAATTAATATAATAATTGATCAACAAAGCCAATCATTTCAGCAACCAAATTGTGGGTTGTCAAGAAAAGCAGTAAGTGCCTAGAAAGTTGACCACAATTTCTGCACACACACCTCATGAGCCTAGCTCAGGACTAGGTAGCAATGGTTTGCAGAGTGAGTAGCACAAGGGGCGTGCTCTGCAGACTGACTGACAGGTAGCCTCCATTTCACCGGCAACAACGCTCCTGTCCTGGTAACCCAGCGAGTGATCGCCCAGCATGCAGGAGTGACAGATCCAGATATCTATCTGATTCATGGTTTCTGACAGGCCAGTACGGCTATGGTCACAGAGAAAGAAAGACTCCAGCTCCACCTTCACTCCCAGACTTTTAAATCGGGCATCAAAGAGCCAATCCACAGGAACCAACTGGGAACATGAATGCATCAAAAGGGGTAGATGGAGAGTGTAGGAAGGGAGTGGCTGCCCCCGCTCAGTGCCAACCAAACACTGCCAAATGGGAAGGCAACCACTGCCGTGTTGTGGAATCACCCAACTTTCTGGGAAAAGCTAATGCATCTGACCTTCATGTGAACCCTCATAAGGTTTCATAGACATTGTACAAGCCAAACCAAACACAGTTCTATAGATTCCACTGAGTCCACAAGGCCATGGTCTTTGTTTCCCTCCTTAACCAGGCTGGAAAGCCTTTCACTGCAGAATCAGAAATGCAAAGCTCCAAGTCGAAGCCTGTGGGAATTGGGGCCCATTGCTCTTTGCTGGGAATTGGGGAAAGAAATCAAGGACACATTGTAGATTCCCAAAGAGGCACTGTGAGTGCCAAGATCAGAGAGAGTCGAGAGTGGAGGTAATGAAATGCTCTCTGAACACTTGTCATTTCCCCAAGGACCAGCCCTGGGCACAGGAATATTTTGTTGTGATAGCTCTTACTTTAGGGTAACCAGTGACAACAACCACCAAAACCACTCTTGTCATCAAAGGTGTGTGTGCATGTGTGTCTGTGTAGGAAATTGGGTAGGAAAAAATTCTCTTAGGACCCGGAGGATGCTGCAAAGATCATTCTCGCCCATATCAATTCCTTTCCTATGCTTCACACCCTGTCCATCAATTCAAAGCATGACCCTAGCCATTCTGAATGTAAGGAAAGAATCAAGCTTATTAACAGTTAGCATATTAATGGGCTTTTTCCTGTTTAAAGGAAGCTCACAGCATCTCATTATTGGGACTAAAAAGAATAGGAATTGTCAGGAACAGAATTTGGTGAATGCGATGAAAAATGTGAGGGGCTGGCTCTGGCTGAGGGCTCTGCGCCCAGCCCCTTCGCCCAGGGCTGCCATCCTCAGCTCTTCAGAAATCTTGCTCTCTCGCTGCAAAGGGGTCTGTTTATTTTTTCATATAGAAGACAGCTTCAAAGGGCAGCTTTTGCTTTGGTTTTCCTTTGGGCAACATTAAAGGGGAGAACAAAGTGAATTCAGAACTTTTTTTTTTTTTTGCCACAGGCCACTCAGTAGACAATCTAAGTTCAGAAGCGCCAGTGGAACACGGGGCTGCTTCCCTGCAGGCCGGGGGCACTCGTTGCCGGTGGTCTCTGCTGCACTGCTTCTCCACCCAGGACCGGGCGGAAGGAGGTCCTTTCCCCAGGCCAGGCAGGCACCTGTCGCAGCAAAGTTAAGAAATGTGTGCAATGTCTCTTAGCAGATGTTGAGAGCATGAGCTCTGTCAGGCTTCCTGGCTTCAAATCCTGGCTCTGTCACTTCTTAGCTCTGTGATCATGGACAAGTTTCTAAACCTCTCTGGGCCCCGGTTACATCACCTACAAAGAGAATAATATCCACTTGGTAGGACTGTCATGAGAACGAAGATGGTGCACATGCCCAGTACAGAGTAAACCCTGAGTAAATGTTAGCTAGCTGTCTTTTTATTATTGTTGTCATTATCATATAAATCAGCACTTTAACAACATGCTTCCTGATTTGTTCTCTCATTACCTTCAAGGTAAACCATGTTGGGGTAATACAAATCGTGCCATCTAAGGAATTCTGATGAAGGGGTCAGAAGACCAAGGGATGGGAGTCCACATTTAAGCTGGGCAACTGACCAGCCAGGTGACTCTGGTCAAGTCACTGCACCTTCCTGTCACCTGTGAGATGGGAATAATCTTTGCCAGTTAGCCTTACAGAGTTGTTGTTAAGATCCATGCTAGACTTATTTGGCCTTAAACCATAATATATTTTATCAGTCTTCATTATTTCTGTTCTCCCCCTTTATTTCACACTCTCCCTCTCTAGCTCACACTTTCCTTCATGTTCTTCTGCTTCTGCTACCTAAGACAAAGTGAGGACATGTCTTATTAAAACAGAAAAGGAAGGAGAGGGGAGGAAGCACTGAATAATTATTCACTTACTACAAAAAAAGGGGCATGCTATTTTTTTGTTTGTTTTACAGAATTCTCCTTAATCTACTTTCTTACGGTTTTAAAGAATGGATATGAATTGACCACTCAGAATTTGCTGTGTTAAAGACAGGAGGGTTAAATTGGTGCAGATTTTCTGGAAAGCTACAGCAGTGGGCTTCAGGCACTATTAAAAAACTTACTCCCTGTGACTCCATAACCCCATCCTTGGAGATTTGTCCTGGAGTATTTTAAAACAAGAAAAACAATGATTAGAGTTGCTCATTGCAGTGTTGTACATAATAAAACATTGAAAGAAACCTGAATGTCCAACCACAGGGGATGAACTAGTAAATTAGAGGCCATTAACTTGATGGACTATATAATAGGCATTAAAAGTAAATGTCATGATTTTTAGCAGTGTGAAAAGATTTATCAAATTGCATATAAATCAAGATTACTATTATGTAAAGATAAAGCATTTTTATTGGAAGTTATGAAGGATAGTTAAAAATTGGTAAATGTACGTTGAAGTTTAACATTATTTTTGGCAACCAGTAAAATTGAAGAACTGAAGGTTTAGAAATATATAGGTTTTCCCCTGGCTGGTGTGGCTCAGTGGATTGAATGCTGGTTTGTGAACCAAGGGGTCACTGGTTCAATTCCAGGTCAGGCCACATGCCTGGGTTGTGGGCCAGGTCCCCGGTGGAGGATGTGCAAGAGGCAACCACACACTGATGTTTCTCTCCCTCTCTTCCTTCCTCCTTTCCCCTCTCTCTAAAAATAAATAAATAAAATCTTGAAAAATTTTTTTAAAAATATAGACATCAGGGTTTTTTGGTCTGTGGACAAGAAGATTGAAGAAAGACAACTATCTCCAAGAAATTATGGATTTCCTAGACCTCAGTTATATGGG